CCACCCCTTCGCCAACATCTTCTCCCTCAGCGACGGCCCCCCCGGGAAACACGGCGGCAGCGGCGTCCCTTACCTCTACCTCACCGACATGGAGATCTCCGTGCAGGACCTGGAGGTGAGCGGGCGCCGCTGGAGCCGGGCCGGGGCCGCCTCGGAGGGGCAGAGGGAGGGACGGGGGGCGTGAGGCCTGGCGGCGAGGTGAGAAGGCGGCTTTGCCCGTGCCATTCGCCAGAGCTTCGCTGCCTCGTGTCGGGCAAGAGCCACCGCGCGAGCGCTGCGCTTTGGGGTCCCTCCTTGCCTGCCTGTTGCTGAGCGGCGTCCACGGTTGTGGGCACGACGGGGCTGTACCTGTAGGCGCTGAGGTGGGAGGAAGCTGCGGTGGATCCAGGCCCTCTGCGCACTCCAGCCCCACTCCCTCCCTGTGCCTGCCCGTCAGTGTCTCCAGCCTTTTCCTGGCGTTATATTTGAGAGTAGAACTATAGGATCTGGTGAGATGCCTCCAGTTTAACAGTCTGTATAATGTTTTTGCAAAATTCAACCTGAAAATGATATATGCTGCTTAGAAATAATAATAGAGAAACCAGTATAAGGCACTTAAAACTTTCTATTTTTAAAATATGCTATGCGTATTTCTTAATACAATGACATATTTGTCTTGGTCACTTGTGCATTTTTGTCTCAGTAGGAAATATTGGTTGGAATATTTTCGTATGAGTCAGAATCTTCATGAGCATTTTATGCAGGCAACATAAGGGTGCTAACAACCTTTCCATGAATGCCACTTCATTTGTGAGCTCCGAGGAGAATTTATTAGTCCTTGAGCATCTAAACATAAAGTGGTACTGTCTTTTTTGATACACAGTATTCTTGGGAAGCTCCTGTTGGTCCTAGTCCAGAAAGTATCATCTCCTGAGTAGTCCTCCAGTAAAGGAAGTAGCTGAAGTTTCAAGAGGAGTCCTAAACACAGAGAAAATGGGCCAAAGAACCCTTATGCAGAGAAAATGAAAAGGAGAACTTAATGCAAAAAAATAAAGGATTGGGGGACTAGAACTTGGTAGTGTAGGGCATGAGTAAAAAGGACTCTCATACTGAAGTAGTAATTGAAGTTTACTGGTAAAGCAAGTGAACAGCAAAAGATGGGCACACCAATGTTCTGAGTTTACATAATTGGTCCTTGCCTCAGCTCTTTTGTTTGACTGTGGTCAGGACAGAATTGACTTAAGAGAGACAGTGATTATCTGCATCCTTTATCAAAGAGACGCTTCTAGTAACTACTGTAGTATTATTAAAACGAATGTGCACAAAACTTAGTAAGATTTTTTTTTTTCAGAATTTCTTTTAATATAAACCCCTTTGTTTTTACTCTCACTCAACTTTTAGCTTATTACTTCAAAACTGTTTATTTATGGATCTAAAAGGTGTGGAGGATCTAAAAGGTGTGGAGAACCTAATTTATTTTGTGTTGTATGTCTTCCTCTGCCCCATCTACTACCCTCTGTTTTCAGATATAAAAATAATGCTACAAAAATATTTTCCTACAGATTGCTTCCCAGCAACATAAATCAACATATATTTATATTCTACAGGACAGAAACAGTCACGTGGAAAGAGACTTCTGATAGGAGAAAATGCTGAATAATGATGAATCAGCTTTTTTGTAGTTAAGCAACTTCCTGTCTGTGCTGTGAGTCATATGATAGCTCTTGCATCCTAGGTTCAATGGTATGGGGCAAAGTGCTCATGTCACTTTCATAATGAGCTCTTTTAATGGAATTTCCCAAAGCATAGGAACTTTCTGTGTTGGGGAAAGAATGAACTGAAGTATGTGCCATTCTGCAGCAGGCAAACCTGTTTTGGACAAAGGTTTTTCAAGATGATTGTGGTCTCCAAAGAAAGTGTAGTACAATCAAATAGATACATAGATCGTAGAAATCTTTATTCTTCAAGTTTGGGGCCTTTCTTAAATACTGAAGTTTTTTTAAGCTTAGTTTTTAAAGTTCACTTTGAATGTCAAGAAAGCTGACTGATTGGGGATGGAGGGATGGCTTTGTTGTTGTTTGTTTGTTTGTGGGAGACAGTGCTAATTCAATACTTTCATTCACAGTTGTGACAGCTAGTTGGTTACCTTTCAGTAATACTTTGTCATTCTGCTTGCATTAACTTTATGGAGTTCACTACATCTTCTTCTCTATACCCCAGTGTTTTAATTGGAATATATCTTAGTTTGAATGTGAAATAGCTAGACTGTATGTTGAATTCAGGGCTTTAAAGAAAGCAATCTTTGTGAGATTTGCATTTTATCTTATCAAACTTTAACACACTTATAAACTCTGTTTTCTTTTAGATCCAGAGCTCATCTTCGTAGGTTTTTCAGATATAATTAGGAAAAAAATGACAGCTTTGTTCTTTTTACAAGTAATTCTGAACTGAATAAAGTACCAGAAGCTGAAAATATCATGATGGATATCACTTTTTTTTTTTCTTTTTCTTGCACATGTACATCAGCCTATTTATCTCACTCTTTGTATTTTAGATCAATTCGAATGCCTCCTTAACTGTATCTTTGGCACAGACTCCATACTGCAGGAAGCATAAGTATGATCCCCAGAACCCTCTCTGTGCCCACATAATCTTCTGTGGGGCTATTGTAAAGGTAAGCAGCTGAAAGTTGACACGGGACAAGAATGTGTGTTGAACAGTATTGCTAAGTGAAAGAACAACAAAAAATTCTGAGAACAAAAAATTCTGAATATTTCTGACTTTCTGTGCTATGACACCAGAAGGCTAGCTTACAGCTTGTGTAAGGAGAAGGAGGTAACCATGTGGTAGTAGCAAGAGTTCTGCTGAAGCATCTTTAGCAAGGCACTTGGGAGGAAGACATTGCAATTAAGTCTCCCTAATTCCTCTAGACCTATTTAGAAACTAAAATATTCAAGAGTTCTCTGGGAGTCAAACATTGTTGAGGTTTTCTTGTCCTATTTGTCAGTTCAGTCATTTGGCCCATCCAGTTTGGCAGGTGTGCTTCCAAAACTGTATTGAAATAACTATTAATCTGAGCTACACAGTTACAGTATTAGAGGCAGAGAAGGTGTATTGCATTACATGGCAGTGTTTCTGCCAGTGCAGTGTTGTTTCAAATTCACTTTGTCCCTTGGAAGGCACTTAGAATGGCATCTAGAACCGTGCGTAGTGTTTATCTGAAGTCTTAATCCCATTATTGAGGATGGTGATGGAGGATGAGGACTAATCATCATTAGTCTCATGTGATGGCCTGGATTCTTATTTGTTGCTTTCAGACATCAAATATGTAAATATTACATTCTAGCAACCCTTTAATTGCTATCATGCTTAAAATAAACAGTCACATTAGTGATTAGTGATTATTTTCTGTTGTATCATATCCAGAACTCAAACTTGTTGATTTAACCCTTCAACCGTTTGCCCATTGTATTAAGTACTGCCACACATTTTAGTTGCTGTTCTCTATGGATTCTGAGTTATTTTACAGTGTGTGTGTGGTATGTATAAGCATCTAAAGACCCTTTGATCTTTTTGGTATCTCTTTGAGTGAGCAGATACAGAGGAGATAAAATTATTCATAAAACATGGCATTGTAAGCAGGTAGCAGGGATCCGGTACTTCTCTTTTGAGACTTGGTATTTCAAATAACACCCATGATCATGCTACACCTTTTTGCTGTTTATTGAGTTGCAGAGTTTTACTTAGCCTGCCACATACATATACATATATGTTGCCATTATAACTCTACCAACATTAGGATAGAGAGCAAAACATTCTATAGTCCTGTTTTTCAGCTGTTACTGAGTTTTTGTTTCACTTGATTGCCATTCTTGCCTAAGCACTTAAATCAAGATCTTATTTTTTTCCCCATTTTTTGTTTGCATAGTCAAGCTTTGCACATTTTAGTCCTGAAAAATATGGAGAAAATTAGGGAGAAAATTTATCTCCAAGAACAACTTCCTAGTCGCATCTTATGAAAAACTTGAATTAAAAAAAAGCTTTGAAGACACAATTCTGTGTGAACATTCCTGTCCTCATAAATAGACAGTTGGCATCACTATTTGCTTTTCCATAAAATCTGACGTGTTATTTATGCCAGAATCATCTTAAGTAAATAAAAACAGAGTTTTGCTCCTCACTCCTTGGATCGTTTGTCACCCCATCAGGAGAGACAAAAAGAGAGACATTGTTTCTCTAGCAAGATCTGTGAATATCCTTTTCAAGATCCTTTCTGTGGACTTCTGTAACTGTCTTCTGTAAAATAATACTTGAGTAGAATAGGGTGTGGTTTTATCCATGCTATTTCATACAAGTCAGTGTCAGCATGGATCTAGTCTTTATGCTAGAAAAGAATTAATATTGCTTCTAAATCTGTCAGTCTGCATATATCTTCATCCAAATAATAGAAGACTTTTGTTGAAGATGTACTTTCTTGCTCATGCTTACTTTTAAGTGCATCCTTTTGATTTCAATATTAAAGTATTTTGGAGTGTTTGCGTGTCTCATGTATAGCTGTAGCCCTCTCTGAAGGTAAACAAACTCTGCCATAGTAATGAGTGCTTTGGAATGGGACATAGCTAAACTGCGAAGAGCACGCTGCAGTCAGCAGTGGTCTTTTAGCTAAAATTCACCTTTGTGCGATTTTATCTTAATGTAATCGTTTGCTGGTTGTTGTTCAGGTGAATGATTCAGAAGTTGGCTTAGCCAAACAAGCGTTATTCACTCGCCACCCTGAGATGGAAAGTTGGCCTAAGGATCACAACTGGTTCTTTGCCAAATTCAACATCACCAATATTTGGGTTCTGGACTACTTTGGTGGATTGAAAATTGTGACACCAGAAGAATATTACAGTGTCAAGCCTTAGTAGTAAGTACTTGAAGTTTGTTGCATGTTCAGTTTTTGTTGTAGTTGGAACCTTTAAAACTTTTTCCGTAGGGACATTGCTCACAGTATATATTATCAAACTTTTTATACATACATACATACATACATATGTACACACATACATACATATACATTTATATATATACACACACCTATTTTATGTCTTTTTCCCTAAGTAAGGGATACAGTGTCTGGAATCTTGATATGTCTGAGTAGAGGACCCACAAAGTAACATAGTAAGCTTTGCTAGGTATACCATATATTGAAAATCAAAGATTTGTGCTTGTATGTCAACTTAAATATAATTTGAGTGGAAAGACTTTTTTCAGAGTAAGCACGCTCACTTTCCTGCATTTGTATTAATTGCAAGAAAGATGATTTTTTGCCCTATTAGTTAAAAATGGTGAGAATACTTAGCATTTACAAAGTTCCATCAGTAGAATTGTTAATGCAATATTGTATAAAACTTTCAAATAAGTTTAAAATTACACTTGAATCATCATGGTATTGAAGTGTAGAAAAATTCAGTTCCATTGTCTACCTAAAACTAAGTCTTCAAATATTTCAAATATATTTTATTTCGATCAACACACTTTCAATTTCATTTTTATTCTTACTCCTTGTAGGTTGAGGAAGATCCTGGGTGATGCTGATATACAAATTAATTTCTTTGGCTGACTATTTCGTTCAAGATTTCTTTTCTGCGTATTGTAGAGCTGAATTAATAACACAAAAGAAAAAAAAATCCCTAACAACAACTGCATTATTAATGAACTTGAGTAACCCATCTGAAGCAAATGTTAATTTTCAGTGACTAGCGCAGCTTGAATCATGTCATATTCACAAACCTTTATGAAAAGCTGTGACTTTATTTTACTCATTGGACTTGATCCTACAAAGTTACAATCTTCCTGTTTACAGCTTGCATTCAGAAAGGCTGTGTTTATTGGAAGCTAAAGGATTAGTCCAGTTTTGCACTTTTCAGTGCCTTAGTTAAATCATATATGTTTGCGGTTGCACTCCTTTTTTTTTTAATGCCAGCTTATTTTAGCACTCCCAAGTGCTAAGTTCACAATTATCCGAAAGTAATTTTAACTGATTAAGTTGATTTCACCATGAGGAAATATTACCTAGCTATCCGCGTAAGAATGTGAGAATTTGGATGCCTTAGTGATAGAACACTGCAACTGATCAGATTAAAACTCTTTCTTAGTATCATCATTACATTTTGTATTACTACTTACCTCAAATGCTTGAAGGATTTTTTTTAATGTGTTTTTAGAGCAATAGATTACATTTTCATCCTCTACGAAAGAGAAATAAGAAGTACTTGTTATTAAGCACATACTGTGCAGTACTTGGTAGGTAGTTTAGGAACAAATAAGTTTGTAATATGGGAAACAGTTTTCTTCTGTATAGATAACACTGAATTTAAAAATGAAATCAGAGAATATTCTTATAAAAGTAGAACAATTGTTGAAATGTAAGTGATCTTATGGTACTGACTTGATCCTTTCCATGGAGACACCTGTATGCATTGTGTGTCACTCCATAACTTATGATGTGTGAGACTAATGATGCTGGGCTTTTGTTAAAAATAAAATATTTTTGTGACATGTGTTGTTGGGCATTATTTAATGCACATTCAAGAATACTTCTTCCCTCCCTCACTCTTTCAAACACATATACTGTCTTCAGAGGTTTTGTTTTCTTGTGACTCTGGAGTCTTTCATGCTTGCTAGAGTACATGGAGTAACTACCTTAAAGCATCTTTGTGCTTCACTTTCTTTTCTGCATTTAATACTGCATCTCTTTCATTTAATCGAGTATTAGGTACAAAATAATGCTGCCTCTTCTCTGTGGTAGCTGTATAGTATTTGATGTTTTGGTTTGTATAAATTTCCCAATATTTTATGAAAGATTGTGTTTTTTTTTTTAAGTCGTCTTAACTAGATATTAAGTGGATTTTATTGGAACAATTTTAGATAATTCAAATCTCATTACTGAGTCATCACTGTAATGAATATGTGAAGACCTCAACCAGATGCTGCTTTTGGAAAGTGACTTACAACAAAATGGTCTAGCTCCATATACAGAGTTAAGCAGAGAAGTCCTATCTGGACTTGTTAGCTATGCATCTTGTTATACATTTGGAAGAAAAGATTTTCATATGTATGAGTGGTACATAAAGCAAACTGGCTTATCAATCACACTAAACATCTATCTTTCTCCCTTAGTAATAGCTGTGAAAAGTTCAATGTCGATGTTAGCATCATTAGGTTTGAACCTGATTAGCTTATCAGGTTTTTGTTCCATTTCTCCTTCCTTTCCTTTCCTCTCCTTGGTCTTATCTTTGTCAGTGTTGGGTTCATTCAAGAATTCATTTTCGAGCATCTTCCCCTTTTTCCTAATATTTTGGTATACAATAAAAAAGATAAGAAGTTAGTTTAGTTGGAAACAATGAATCACTGTTGTGCTTTGTGACTACACACGTTGCCTGCTGTGGCCTGCCTGAGGTAGCTGAGTGTCTTCTAAACACCTATGAAGTCACTCACCAGAGCCAAGGAGTTAACTGTCCCCATTGATAGGCAAGAATCTGAGGCATGGGACAGTTAGGTAACTTGCTAGGTAAGTCACAGGATGTTTTTTAGGTGAGGAATCTGATTGGGATAACCATCTTCTGGCACTCTTAACTACGGAGTCATGTCTTTGTCTGCTGCTTGTGCTGATTAACCTGCTTGTGTCCGTACTTTAACATTTCCAATTCCTTCTTTTGTATTTCAATGTAATATTTATATCAAATGGATTCTTGTGAAGTGCTACCTCATTATAAAACACAGAATTATAGGGTAGAGCTTGTGTTCCACAATCCAATTCTATCTGGAATTATTTCTCAGATAGTGTATATCTGTGATTTTAGCATCAAAACAGAGATTGCTGAATCAGAGTACTAGCCCCTCAAAAAACCCTCAGAACTTGCACATAAAAGAAATCAGAAGAGTTAGTACTACTGTTTCTTAAGGTAGAAAGAACCTCTGCTTATTTATGAGAAGAGTCTAATAAAGTTTTTTAACAGTTTTTTTCCTGGATAACACACTAAATCGAGAAAAAACTTTTAAATTAGTAAACTGTTTTATTATATTGACCACAAGAGGGTGCCATAGACTTATATTCGGAGTGATTATTAGCTGTTTAATACATAAAATTGAATACTGAGTTCATCATAACTCGAAAATACTGGAGAAATGTGTGATGAGAGCATTATACTTAGAAATTCTTTTTCTACGGTGCTTTACATTCTCAATACTTTTCTCCATAAACGTAGCAATCTGCTAGCTGCTGAAAAGAAGCATTAATCAGTCTCTTAGTGCATTGTAGTCATTTTGTACTATGAAGTGCTCAGAAGTTAAGCCCATGGAAAGGATTTAAATGTTTTTAAAATAATAATAATAAAAAAGGTAGTAGAGGAAATTGAGATAGGTATAAAAAGCCATGCAATCTTGACCAGGAAAACCACCTCTGGATTCAGGACTTTTGGCTTCTTTCAATACTTACTAATTCAAATAATCCAAACCAAGATAGTTAGTTGACTTGATGATGCTTCGATGTATGCTCATTTTTTTTTGCATAGGCTAAAACATCCAGTTATGATTTATAAGGACTAAACATCAATGAGCTAATTGATCTTCTGCCAGACTTGGATGGTTTGAGCCAGTAGATGGAAGCACTGTCTTCCGTTAGGAAAACAGTAGCGCATAATGTTTAGAATAGGACTCAGTTAATCAAAATTACCACTTGTTTAAATTATTGTCCAAACCATGAGTCCTCCTCTAACATTGGGTCAGAGGGCTGGGAAAGAGCCAGGTTGGGAGTGACAGCTGGGAGAAGCCTCCTGACAACCTGCTCTTCCTGGCCTATGAGCCACGCTTGAGCTCTGGCCTTTGCCACTTGACTTACTTTGATCCTACTGACTTGAGCTCAGACCTGCCCCACTACTATGGCCTTGTCTGGTGCTCACTAGGCTGGGGTTGACACTGCTTCTTGTCACTAGACCTGCTCTGCCCTTCTTGTTCAGATACTATGGGACTGCAAATGTTGGTGAGGCCACTGTCCCACCTGTCTTCCCCTGCTCGTCTTCCCTGGCAGAGCAGCAGGTCCTTGTGGCTCCAAAACAATTTATTTTGTTTTGTTTTTCTCTGTAGGGAAGTTCAGTCCATAAGCTTTTCATGCAGAACTCTTCTAGTTGACCCCAAGGCTTTTTGCGTGTTTATAAGAAGAATTTTCTTGAATATTACAGTAATAAGGCTAGAGCATAAGGCTCATTTATTCTGGCTACAGTAGTTAACATTATATCCTGTTTTTCTGTGGAAATAAGACATATGTAGTAACTGTGGGCACTTGTTTCTGTCAGTTTCCGTGCTTATCTTCAGTTGGATTCAGATTTGAAACTGGTAGCGACTTTGAAGCTACAAAGTTCCTATACATGTCATGAAAATGGGCAACTCAGCAGAGGATGCAAAACCCAGTTAATGTCTCATTCAGGAAAAGATGATCACTACTCAGCTTTATTTATGTAGGCAGTAGTCATTTGGCTAATCAGCTCTTAGAGTACAAGCTAATTGCTAGTTACCCAGCCAGAGGTTGTGAATGGTTGTTTGGAGTCATGAGGAATGGGAACACTTGAGTGTATGAACAGGAGTGCTATGGAGACACTAAAAGTACAAAAGACTTTTTATTTTTAAAGAAGTTGGACTTCACTAATTATGCTGGTTGCAAAACAGCTTAGAGTCTTTTGGTTGATTGAGACCAAGCCTTAATATCTGAAGTGATTAAATTTCATATTCTTTTGGGTGTTTTTCACTTTATTCAAGGACACAGTTACTGTGATGATGCTTCTCTCTGTTTTTTTTTTCTCCAGATTTTCTTATTATTGATAGAAAACCCTAACAACTCCCAGTTTCTTCTTTACTACTAACTCCTTCACAGCTGTTAACCTTGACAGCCTTAACAGCTCACTTTTGCATATAGTTTCTCTAGTTCAAACAAAAAAGGTGGTACATTTATGGTGGCACGTCCAACAGCTCTTGCAGGTATTGTAGAGAGCAGGGAGTCTCTCCCTCAACCTCAGTGGGCTGTCACTGCACCCACAAAGGCCTGGAACTATTTTATACTGGTTTTGACTTAAGTTGTAACCTTACTCATTTTGTTGCAACTACCCTCCTTTTCCACTCTATACAAATGTAAATAGATCTCAGCTTTGCAGGATTCTTGTAGACTATTTATAAGTCATCTCAGTATTTCTAGATGAGAGGAATATTTTTGAAAACAAGATGACTTCTAATAACCACAAACACAGGGTACGTGACAAAGCCATGAAGAGAATTTGTATATGTATATGCAAATATGAAAAAGACTTTCAAAAGTTACGAGTTATATGTATGTAATCATGTATATAAGCATGTATATTACATAAAAAACAAGATGTTTAGTATTTCTGTAGTATATTATGCCAATAAAGCCTATTAAACACTGCCCAGTATTACAAAGTAAATTTTTCTTGACTGAAATTAAGCAGTCATTTAGAGATAAGAAACAGCAATAATTGAAAAAAGAAAAACGAAAACTGCAGTGTGATTTTAAGAACCTTGTTGAGTTCTTTCATATTGGCATTTAGCCAAAAACAGTTGCCTATCCAAGCGTGAATTGGATTTTTGATTTGTTTTAAATGC